AAAGGTCCTGGGCACTGTCCATGACTGTGACCACCTCAGGCCCATCAGCAAGTGGGCAGATGGTCAGGGGCTTGTCACCAGAGGACCAAAGGCAAAAGAGGGGCCGGAGAGGACCAGAGAATGATGTTTTGGAGAATGTATAGATATGAGATCCATTAGTCATGTTGTAGAAGTAGACATTTCTTGAATCATAGTCTAGGAAAATGCCAACCCGGTGGATGGGATTTGACATTAGAAGAGGGGTCCGGTGAGGGTTGATGGCCCAGTACTGATTTTTGTACAACTCCAAAGCCCAGAATCCATTCTTAGGAATTATGGGATCAAATCCTTTCCTCTTCACATTCTCGCTGCACACGCCAACCACCCAGTCAATTCTGTCTCCAACCTCTACTTCCCAATAATGTCTCCCTGAGACAAAGGCCTCACGGCCCAACACACAGGGCCAGGAATCAAATCTCTCTGAGTTCTCAGGCCATGTCTGACATGAATCTTCCAGATGAACAGATTTTAAGTCATCGTGAAGAAGGAGGTTGGGATGAGCCGTGTCTGGATCCAGAGTCACATCAACTGGAGACAAAGAGAGAACAAGTCTGAGCATCAGTGAATGTCAGAGATTACAAGAGCTGTCTTTCCTTCTTGAAGTAATAGAGTACTATTTCAGGAGTTGACAAGTCTCCTCAGAGGGAGAGCTGTTTGAGTGTCTCCATATCCCCCAGGCTTCCTTTCTTACCAGCAGCCAGATGGTGACTGCCCCAATGGGCAGTGCCCAATAAAGCCCTGTCAGAGAAGGCTTATCTCCTAGTCATCTTCCAACATTTCTGTATGTGCCTCAAGGAAAGTGTTGAGGAGGCTGGGCATGGTGGCTCACGCCCATAATCCTAGCATTCTGGGAGGCTGAGGAGGGTGGATCACCTGACCTCAGGAGTATGAGACCAGCCGAAGCAAGAACAACACTACTGTCTCTAAAAATATCAGGGCATTGTGGCGGGCGCCTGTAGTCCCAGCTACTTGGGAGGCTGAGGCAAGAGGATCTCTAGAGCCCAAGAGTTTGAGGTTGCTGTGAGTTATGACGCCATAGCACTCTATCCAGGGTGACAAAGTGAGACTTCGTCTCAAAAAAAAAAGTTGTTGGGGTCATTTTCCATCACCTTTTCTCTTCCTATCCTCATCACTAAAGCGTGTTTAGTGTTTTCATTTCCAAGTATGGTAAGACTTTGAATTCTTTGGGGATAGACCCTTAGAGGCCTTGACAAGTTCAGTGCCACCTACCTCCATGCACTGTAGACTTTTTCCATTCTGCAGTGAAAGAGAAAGATAATCATTGACAGGTTATAGTATAAGAGAAAGAAAACTTTGTGAATGAAATAATGACAAAAAGACAATACTCACTGAGCTCTTCCAGGACTCTGTCTGGAAAACAAATAAAAATATCTTAGTGGCTTTTTATATGAACAAGAAGAAGACAAAATTGGTGTGGGAAACACAGATGAGAAACTGTTTAATTCATGACTACCCAATTACTAAAACATTATCAGTAAATCCAGAACAAAGTCTTTGTTGTATTTTGTTTCCTAAGAAATAGGCAGGAAGTTCCTACATTCTTAGGATCAGATTTTTATTTTATTTATTTATTTTGAGACAGTCTCACTATGTTG